TCAGTTGTGATTAGTTGTTTAAATCAGTCAGTCAGTATTTATTTAAAAGAAACTGATGTGTCTCACAAAGGCACAAAGTTCGTCATTTCTCGCAGCAAGGAAAAAAGGGTAGTTTTTTGCTAACCTGGTGTCCCTGGTTGTCCTGGTGTACCTGGTGATCCGGGAGGTCCCGCGGGTCCATCCCTACCATCCCGTCCATCTCGTCCTATGCAAAGTAAAATTACAATTAACCTATAATTCTTTTGAGTAAAACAGCACGGAAGTCAACCGTATTGATTGTTCCTGTGTAGATAACTCATACATTTAAACAGCCTAAATTATTGTTTCTTGTTAAAATTTAATGAAGTCTGTAAAGTTTACCTCTCAGCAGTGCTCCTGGTGTTTCAAATACTTCGATAGAAGAGGACTGGTTATTTCTAATTGCCCTAAAGAAAAAGATGGAACAATCTCACGCAATATTTTATTCAAAATGGACGACATTGGACGTAATAAGTTTCTTTTTTCTATTACATAAAATCATGGTTTATTTCATCATCTCTGAAATCAAAATTTTGAAAAACGCTATGTGTTTACCATGAAAACGTCGTATACTTGAAAATCGCCTAATCGTAAATATATTGCTTAAGGCTCCGACAAAAAGATTTTGAGATTTTATCATGGTATGTAAGTTTGTTTTTGCTTTCATTTTAAGCTTTTGCCAATAATAAAAAGGATTGAAATTCTTCCCCGAGCAATAATAATAATAGCTTCCTTGTCATTTTTAGATGATGGATCTCCCTCTTGGACATTCAAAAACCTGACCTTCTGTTTCTGATATGATAATCACCCACCTAGCTATAATCTTACAGATAAAGAAGTTAATCCAAAACGTGCGGTTTATTTACAAGAGATCAATGTGTCAGCGATGCAGCAAATTGTCGCAACAGTCCGTGATTCTTTTCACGTTTGTGCAGATTGCTTATCATGTGGGGTGTCGCGACGATGATAATGGAGACCTCACCTGTATTCCAGAACTTTCACTCGTTTCTCAAGACCTGCAAGACTCAGGGTTAACGCTCTCCTTCTTCTTCTTGAAAGCGAAGCTTGAACTTCAGCCCTTCCATCGATTTCTGTCTGTTTTCGATCTGTTACACAAACTTTCCGCAACAACTCGTCCGCGTTTATCTTCTCCTCAATTGCAGCCAATCTCTGTTTTATTTGAACGTAATCTACAGCTACTAAAACTACACTCGACAAGAGAAAAATCACTACTGCCACGTAGAATACGAACCGGACAATCTCAGAAAAACGACACCTTACATATGGATCCTCTTTATCGCGATCCATTGTTTCCAACTTAACTGACCAGAGTAGCTCAAGCTTACTTTCCTAAACAACAGCTGAATCTGTCAGCGCAAGCTATAGATGGATTAAGTGATCCAACCGTTAGGAAATAGATAATGTTACATTAATCTATATAGATAATGAAATAAGCAGGCATCAGGAATCTGTTAGGACACCGAAACACAAACGACAGCTTGAATTGGGATCAACACTACAGCAAAACTTTTGAACTTCTGACGAAGTTCCCCGAATCGATCCTCACCAAGAATTCAAGCAAATTCAGCGAGAATCGCCCTCCACCATTTGAACAGATCTGATTTCTGAGCCATTTTAAGGTTAGATATATTGCTCTCGTTAAAATGTTTGTGTAATAAATACCGAAATGGTGGATTCTTGATATTATTAATGAAATTGTCTATCTGATTAGAAAGGTAAACAAATGTTTGCGCACAAGCTCCGTGAGATTTGAATTTTTTTTGTAAATTTTATGATCTTGCACAATGCGGGACACTACAAATACGCTGCTCTCCGCGCAAGTTCGTTGCATCTTATTTCTTTAACCATTGCCAACGTGTTTGGCCTTATTCCTTCAAAATTTAGGCCACTTGAAGACCAATCGCTCCATTTTTTCATCACTGAGATGAAAAAGGGATTTGTGTATTTTCATTTATATTGTCAAAGATGGTGGGCTTTCGGAGGTTTTTGCCGGTTGTTTCCCACTCATTTACTTTCTTAGCTGATTGAAGTTTTCGTAATTAGAGCGAGGGGTGAACTTATGTCTACATCTCCTTGTAGCTTTTCCACCACGTTAAACAAAGGAAATAGCATAGTCTTGTAATAGTTTCATATGAAAACAGGTCTTCAAATATCATCGCGAAAATTTCGTGCTTATTGTCGTTAATGAGACAGTTTTCCTTTTTGATAGTGTTTGCTCTTAAAAATAAAAGAAATGAGGAAACAAAACGCAAAATATGCCTTTTTGGAGATTTGCCGCAGCTTCTTCTATGCATTGGTCTTCGTTGGGCTGTTGTCGTGGTTGACATTCCTCTCCTTGGATCACATTCAAATCAGGCAAAGATTGTCTGTGATTGATCATAGAATAGACAGATTTGAACGGAAGTTTGAGGAGATCATTCCAACGAGACAGTCCAACAAAAGGAGTAATGGCGCTAAAACTTTGCATGACAGGGATAAGAGAGACGTCTTAAGCCTTGAAAGTCTCGAGAAACGACTTAAGGCTCTAGAATTTAGGTGAGACTTTTACTTATATGAACCACTTATAAGACCTGTTATTGATTAGCTTTGAAAAAATACTGACTGGAAACTATGACCAAGCAGGAAATACGTGATTATAATTGCGGAAATTTGAGTTGAGTAAAAAGCCTTACAAAGCGGCAGGATGAAGGGACGTGGGGGGCTATGCATCTGAAAGTGGATCAAAACTTTTGATACTCCTACGGTTTTCTATCGCTTTTGGTAATTACCATTGAAACAAATGCAAGAAAAAGATAATTTGGACTCCAAACTATGCTAAAACGTGTGATAAGAATAAGTCCCTGGATGTATCACAAGGTTACGATCTTTTAACACGTCCTGAAAATTTTTTTTAGGGCTGCCATGAAAAACCAGTCCATTAGTAGAGACGACGGAAGATCTCGAAAATCACAGGGTGGAGGTTGGTATGCAGTCTCTATCGCAACCGTGTTTTAGATCCACCACCCAAAGTTGTCGCTGTGATTATCCCAAATTAAGGCTACGAAAAATATCACAATTTAAATGCAAAAAGTTAAAAAACACACGGGGTCCTAAATTCCTGGGAGGTTAAGGTTGACGAAAATAAATTTGGTGATCTCTTTTTATAGGATGGGATGAACGGGATGGCAGAAGTATTCCCGACGTTTTCCTAAGATTTCCTGGAACACCAGGGATGCCAGGACTACCAGGTCAGAGACCTTGTTTGGAGGGTACTAAAAACTCTGATACCGTTTTCTCCCTGAGATCTTGGTAAAATGTTCCAAAAGGTGGAAACGTCGAAGAAAAATCAGCAGAACTTCTGCAAACTGCCCAATGAAAAAGTATTTATAACCATAAACGATCATATAGTTTTCGAGATGGATTGTACAAGAGCCAATGAACTTAAATGCTAATCCTACCCACAACCGTTAACATCCGATATTTTTACCCGGCCTTTTCTGACATTATGAATATACAAATGAAATAAAAATGAATCTGGAATAGCCCTGAAATCATAAAGTACAGCACTAAATTAACCAAATCACCGAACGAACGAATCTTAAACCTTGTAAATTAATTGAAGTTATAAATTGACAGTGCTTCGGAATTATCCACTCGTTTTTCACTGCAGGTCGTGACGGGCGAGATGGCAGACAAGGACCTCCTGGTCCAAAAGGTTTCATTGACTCCCGTTTGTTATTCCGAAAGGGGCTCGCAGCACCCATTTCAATTCAACGGTATGTTATTTTTTAGTCCGGTATAACAAAGTTAATTTACTGGCAAATGTATATTCTGTAGGAGATAATGGTCCTCATGGAAAACTTGGGAGGCAAGGAGATCCGGGACCTAAAGGACAAAAGGGACAAGAAGGGCAGGGGAGGTCTGGAGTCAGTTACGTGCGCTGGGGCCGGACAAGCTGTGAGAGAGATGCTCAGATTGTGTATTCGGGTAAGTCGCAGTTAATAAAAATAATTCAGTATTTTTTTTATTAGAGCTAAACAAGATAATATAAACAGGTATTGGTAAAATATACACTCCGTTTTTTGAGTCGACTATTAGATGTGTTGTTTTAAATTTGTTACCTTCTAATTTCCTTGTTCTGATGTTGTCCGCAATCATTATGCAGTTCCGCTCCAATTGAAGCTCTCGCGTTTCATTTCATCTCTTTCCCAGGCTTCGTGGGGAGTGGTCACCAAAGTCACACAGGAGGAGAAGTAAATCATATATGCCTGCCAAACCAACCAAAATATGGAAAGTACACCGATCATTTTGAAAGGACGGGGGCCATCTATGGCACTGAGTATGAAGTGAGCTCATTTAATCCTTTCAAAAGAAATGTGCATAATCACGACGTCCCCTGTGCTGTGTGCTTTATCGGTTCAAGAGGTACACAACTCATGATGCCCGCAAGGGATGACTGCCCTAATGGCTGGCACGAAGAGTATCATGGTTACCTTATGACAGCACATTGGGACGACAAAAAGCCCAGTAATTTCATATGTGTTGATTCGGATCCAGAGTCGGTACCAGGAAGTTTTGGCAGTCATGATGGTGCATTGTTGTATCTGGTGCAAGCTAGTTGTTGGTATTTCTCATCGTGTCCGCCCTATTACCAAGGGCGAGAACTCACATGCGCAGTCTGCTCAAAATAACTATTGGTACGAGAGTTATTAATTTGATAGCTGGGTCGACAAAAACAACGTTTCCAGGAAAAACTTAACTTTTAGGAGGTTAGAAAAATAAATCGACAAGAACCAGATAAAGTAACACTTCCATAAAACTTAAAAATTTTCACTTCGTTACCATATCTGCGTTTCGTTACAGCGCCTAGGTAGACCGATCACTTGTTATGTTCGGTCACAAAATTTCTGATGATTGCTTTTCAATAAACACAAACATTACCAAGCTATACTCCTGGGCCTGCTTAGTTTTCAGTAAAAGAGACTGCTTTAATTGATACTACTTTGTTAACATGCCCGCCAAAACAATCTCCGTCTGTTACTCAGTTTCATTTTCGTGTGCATTCTCATTTGATAAACAATCTTTCTTATGACTTATCTTGTAAAGCGGAAATTGTTTGTCTAGATTTTTGTTCATATTTCGCCGATCTCAAAATGCATTCACAGAGGGTCTTTCGTTCCTAATAGGAACTTGTTTGATGGTCTTAATTAATCTGTTAACTGTATGTATCATGGCAGCGAGAAACAGCACTAATGACAATCGGTTAGACGACTTCATCACTTGATATAGCAAGCAACCATAAATAATTTACAAGAAATAGCTAAACTTAGGAGAGAAAAAGAAACGTTTCAGGTTAAAATCGTTGTCAATTGTGGAGCTTAAGGCCTTATGCCAACTTTGCTTGTTAATGTAACATGACATCAAACATTCAGAGTATAGGATCACATGTGTTGATGTTACTGGATCTTACTGACGAGACAGTGGATTTACTGCTGCCATGTAGAAGTGGCAAAAGCTGTGAACACCTTAAATGATGGCTCAACTGGTTTTACTGTTAAATTATATCCACCTGTAGAGGAAAATTTTCGGTAAAGTTTCACTAATATCATGGGCGAGGTAGTGCTTGATACGCGGATTTCTATTTCAGCTGAATTTTTAATAACTATCGTGATGATTTTAGTGTTCTTTGATTACAGGTCACAATTTGGTCATCATTCTTATGTCAATGTCTTGGTGAAGAGAAGCGAACAGAGTCATGTGAACAGTTGTTGTCAGTCGAATCTTGTAAGTCCGGTTTGTATAAACTGATTGCTCAGTTTGCCGTGATGTTATTGGCTGTAAGACTCAAGTGGCGTAGGTCGCTTGTGATTGGTCAATCTCGATCCGTTAGTAAAGTTAGATCGTTCTGCTCTTTTCGTTTGTTATGTTACTGTCGTGAATGAGTTGTTTGTATGGTGCCGGTAGTGGTTGACACCCGTTGAGGGGAATCTGTTCTAAGTTAGTAAACCAGCTCTCCAGATTCAGTCGTTGAAAGTAGTTGGTGCTGTAGGTTAGGAATTGCGCAGAGTCCCATTAAAGGGTGTGGTTTGTAAGTCGACTTACCTGACCAATCAGTTTATACAAACCGGACTTAGAACATTCAACTAACAACAACTATTCACTTGACTGTAATGACGACTCCTGCCCAGGTTGTCGAAACGTCACTCACTACTAAAGACGACAGTCTTCCTCAGGACTACTCTGACCCGAAAGATCAAACTACACTATTACATGTTACCCCCACATTCAAACCATTCACTGTACAGAATTTCTCCTCACAATATCCTTACAAAATTAAGTAGACAAGTGATGAGAATAAAGAAAAAGATAATTTAGGAGATTATTGGTTCATCCAATACCAAATTCTCGGAACTAACATCATAAAAATTGAATAGCAGACAGTAACGAGAATTACTGATAAGATCTTAAGAGCGAAAGGGTTAAACTGACTTTTTCCAATCAGAGCATAAAAAAATGAAAACCTGGTTTGAACCTCGGGAAGTTCTCTTTCCCTCTGGTGAACTGGATCTTGGATTTAGGACACTGGTGGCCGATTTTGAATTTTGCCACAAGTGGTCGATTTTGGATTTGGAACACTTGTGGCCGATGTCAAATTTTGGACACAAGTGGTGGATTTTGGATTTGGAACACTAGTGGCCGATGTCGAATTTTGGACACAAGTGGCCGATTTTGAATTTTGAACACAAGTGGCCGATTTTGGATTTTGGACTCTAATGACATTTTTCTCCACTCAAATTTTTGGACTGTTCAGGAAACAACAAGTGACAGAGGACAAGAATGAGACGAACAAGAGGCCGAAGAGCGACTGACCCTTGACATAGACCCTTCCCGCAGGACACTGTATTAAACAGAAAACTGGTATATTACTTTACTCAAAAATTTTAAAATTCGTTCAGGTTTTCTGAAAGCTTTTTTCTTTAACATGGCTTAGTTGTCTAGCGAGAGACATGCAACTCACCCAGAAGTTTTATCTGATTCACAAAGAAGGAACAAAATGAACTTATGATTGTAAAAATATATTGAAAACTGGAAATAGTGGGTGGATTGTTCACGTTTCAAATCTTTTGTGCAGTTTCTTTCGATTCTCACCACTAGCTGCCATGGATTTTCTCCTCAATTAATAAAGAGAATCAGTTCGGTATTTTGTCAATAAAAGACATATCGCCCCCAGGCCGAGAGGTTTCTAGATAGTTTTGTAAGAACAAGTCATTAGTAAGTACTAGTAAACTTCACTTCAAGTAGTTGAAGGATGAAAAAGTATAACCTGTATAAGTGTGCCGGTGAAGGGATCGAGGTGCTGGCAGTCTTTTGTCAAATGTTATGTATTCATTTTCACTCGTTAGAAGCGAGCATTGTGGTGGGTAAAAAACGCTTTTCTTCCTTTGAATAATACTCTTTACCATTGAGGTCATACGACAAAATTTAATTATTAATTATTCTAAAATAGAGTTTGAATTGCTTCCTTTTACCAAACAGACGTCCGTTCGAAAAAAAAAATCGTGATTTTTTTTCATGGAAACCTGATTGAATTTGCTCCTAGGGAAGGAAATTGGATACTGTGCATAACTTCTTTCATGTTGAATAATATGCACTCGAGAAATTGCATGACCTTTTTTTAAATTCCTCAATATTTTGAAGGGAAAAAAAAAAGAAAAATCAGAGCAATCAAACAATCATTCTAACCGAAATTCCCGATATTTTTTCTTTTGAATCGAAGGTAAGAGTAAGCCTCAGTTCAATACCATTTTGGCAAAATCTAAATACACATTTCATACTGTTCTTTTAACAATATAGTTGGAAATTCAAGTTGAGGAAAAAAGGAAACTTTTTACCTGTCGTGAATTTTGATATTGAGGCTTACAACAATTTTTTTTGGGTCTTGTACTGTTAAGTCCCATAGCAGAGTGATGAAGATGATTGTTGGCCTGTAACCTGAAAATGAAATTTTACCTTCTGTTGATTTTCCCAACCTCTCAAGAGATCAATGTTCTGATATCGTATGTTTTAAAAGGAGATATGACGTCGTGCATTATCAACTTTAAGGAAAGGAAAGAATTATTTCCTCTTGAACATTCTCAATAAAATTTGATTGAATGATATGATGTGTGGACAGATGCAGAAATGATTTAACCATTGGTAGTCAGGTAAGCTAAGTACAGAAAAGTAAAGAAGAGAAAGCAAGCCCCACTTTTAGTTTCTTTTTCTTCTCTCATGCTCTTACCTGGAAAGAAACCAAATGTATAACCGACCTTTGAACGCGAGGATGCAATGAACCCCTCTGACAAGTTTGTTAAAGCATCAGCCAAGAAACGGGACAGCTGATTGGTCAATATTACTCATGACAACAAGCCGTTAAATTAAGTAGTATAGCCTTCCCATAACTGAGAAAAAAAGCGTCGGATGAAACTCAGCAAAGTAGTACAGAAGCTTGAGCTATTGAAAACTCTTTTAACCAGAGCTGAACAAAAGTACTTGGTTGAATGGTATTGAAGAAAGCTTTCAAAATATTTACTCAGGATTGATTTTAAACAGCTAATTGGATTGTTTTGACAGCTACAGATATCTCTGAGTAATCATTGATCATCCATGACTGAAAAGACACATGATGACTTGTAAATAGTAACAGATTATCATTGTCTGCTTAATACATTTACAGAATTTTTTGTTCCCCTGGTAGTACAAGTTGCCTTGTATGCCTTGTTTTTTAAAGTGGACACATCAACTTTCTAACATGTACATGGTAGATGAGAAACTCTTTAGAATGGTTTATCATGGCATATCCCTCCCTTTACTTGTATATTATTGGTAGACATACAAGACACTATGGAAGTACAAGGTCCTCCAGGGACACCCCATGGTATACAATGAGAAAGTGTTGTGTAAATGTATCAAACAATGTTGTGGAAAATACAATGGCCAAAACAATCAATAAGACAAATGTGCAGACTTCAGATTTCAATAACCTTCAACTGCCTGGAGTCTTTGATCTTCAAAACAAACAAATTAATCAAACAAAGTTACAATAACAAAACTACATTCGGATTTTAATTAGCGAGTTAAGTCATCATAGACTTGTTCTCTTGTTGGTTCATGCATTACTCCCTTAACTCCAAAGACCTCAAATGTAAATTCTTCCCTTTAGCTACTATGCATTTCCTCATAAACAAATTATGAGAATTTGGTGTCAGATCAAGATAACACTTAGATCAAAATCAGTATCTGAGCAATTGTCCACCCACCCCTCCCCTAACTGAACCTCAACCCTAACTTGTTGTTGTTTTAGGAGAGGTGTTGGTTCACAGTTGTTCAGATGCTGAAATTGATCCAAAGACTTCAACCAATTGAGTTTGAGAATTCTCATTACCTGTTTGGTGGATAATGTATGGATATTCTAGGAGATGTCACATGTTAATCACCTCTAGGAGTTCAAGAGTTAATGATATTACATTGTGAGATGAAAAGAAAATAAATGTTTTAGGATTCAATGTTGTTGATGTTTAAACAGCTCAGTTGAGAAGACAGAAACAAAGTAAAAACCACTGATAGAAATGTTACAGACTCTACATTTGTGAGGAGCAAAGTCCATGTATCAGTTCTCAAATTGGGAGTCAAACTAAAATTGTAAATCAGTACTGAGAAAGCAGAAAATTGGTCAGTTTGTGAGACTGTCAGCTTAGCATCTGGCCTACTGAAATGATCAACTATGTGCTGTTCAGTTTGTAACACTTGATAACCAATAGACTTATTCTTTCTCTTTCCTGGTAAACACAATCCTACAAAAAAGGCAAGTTACCCTTTTCCTTTTATCTAGACTGAGAACATAATGCATGTGCAAACTATTCCAAGTACTTTTTTTTCACATTTTTCAGAGGTGAAAACTGCAGTTTTGCACCATATCCCAACACCTGTTGGATTGACAAGAGTAAAGGAATATGTAAGAATCCATTCTAGTGTCCTCACTCGCAGGCCTTTCTTCTCAAAAGAAATGCTCTTTGATGTCAAGGAATTCATCACCAGTTTAGTAAAGCACGATTGTGGTATTTCTTTGAGCTTTTTTAAGTTAAAAAAAAAACCAAAAACTTTAAAAAAGTACTTCACACCAATACTTAGTCTGTACTCATTGCCGCTTTTATTTGTGAGGGCTCTGGGCAATAAAAGAAAAGTAAGCTGTTTCTATTGCTCTTGAAAGCCCAACAATAACCATTGAAACATTTGGCAACTTAGTTGCTTGGATTTGCTATTGCTTCACCCTATATGGTAATGAATGGTACCATTCAGTTGTCGCAAATGCCAATATATCAGAAATGGAAGAATCAAGTCAGTTTCAAAACAGCAATATGAGAGTATAAAATAAAAGATGAATGTCCATTCTATTTATTTAGCTGATCCTGACGCCTTTTCTCTCTTCTTCTTTTCAGCTTCTGCTTCTTTTTCTTTCTCAATGATTTCAACAAATTTATCAACCTCTTCTGGTTGTAGTATCTGAATGACAAGAGACACAAAGATTGAAATAAGCACCAATGAAACTTTCCATCTGTTGAGGATTCTTGCAACTTAAGTGTGTCTGGTTGTAAGATCAAAACATTAACTGGAGCATATAAAGTGCAAAGTTACTGATATTCCTCTAATGAAAAATCACAATGTACGCGAATAAAAACTTTTCTTATGTGGTTTAAACTGATCCAAATCCTGCTAAGCCAATGTGTAAAATCTGTCTTTTCTCTTCTTCCAAGTAACTGACTACTTGGGACAAGAAATCTCGCTAATAATGCACCAGCACAGTTTTGCAACAGAGTATATGTGATGTAAGACTCCATTTACTTGTGGTTAATGACAAGTAAATGTTTACCTTGAGTGTTTCACCATTTCTCATAATAGCAAGTTCAATATTCTTTCCTCCCGACTGCACCACCTGCAAGGGTAATACTGTTGTCATATGTATGGTCCTATGGCAAAACATGCTAAACAAATTGACAATAAGTTGTAATCCACTTTCAGACATGCAAAAACATGTTAACTGATCATAGATTCTCTTCACATGCACTGAATTTTTGAGTATAGCGCCACCTGTTTGAAACAACTTGGTAACAGTTGCACCTACAAAAAACCACAACAGGCACTTCAGATACACCTGTTACTCTGTTAAAAGAAAATCATAAACCACAGAAATTTACACACCTCAAGTAAAGCTTTGATAGCTAGTTTAATTGTTTCATCATCTGAGTCAGCTACCTCCTCTGTATAGTGTTTCTCTAGAAATTCACGAACGGTTTTTGCACTGCGTCCAATTGCATTGGCCTGATAAATAAAAGATACACAAATGATAGAGGTAAAGAGGTAAAAATGCATTATAAAGGAAAAGTGTGTGTGAAATTCATGTCATAAATGCAATATCTGCAGTGGATATTGCAGTTATCATGTTGAGTTCAAAGTCTTCATAGTCTCCAAGTCCCTCCTCCATATAAGACTTTTTGTGTTCTAAGACTTTTGCAAACTCAAAGAGAGTTCACTGTTTAAAAAATGTACAATAAAACAATTATTAAATTTGGTTTTCCCATGATATCATAAACTATCAAACCTCATGTCAAATCTCAGTTTTGATAATTTATGATATCATGCTCCAGTAATTTCTCATTATACATTGTAGCCAATGTGGATACTTTTCCAGAATAACTGCCAATCGATGCATTTGGTTTGGCACAAGAAAAGCTTGGTGTCTGAATCTAAGTACTTCCATTGCAGTTTCAGAGTTAAAGTTCTCCAACAAGTCAGGCAAAAGGTGACAACTGAACCTTTCCAATTTAACAAGCCATTTATAATTGATTCAGACCCTGAACTCTCCATGTACTGAACCCTTTAATTCCCAGGATCTGATTGTTAATACTCCACTCTAGCTGCTACACATTTCCTTGTAAATTAGTTGCAAGAATTTGGCATTAGATCAAGATAACAACTTCTACCTGATACATTTGAGTACTCTCACTACCTGTTTGCTAAATAGTGAATGGATATTGTAGGGAGAAGTTACTTGTAAATCACTTCTGGGAGTTAAAGGGTTAAGGTATTAGGTTCTGGTCTTGAAAAATTCAGTAATTAACAGGGAGTAACTTTTTATCTGTCAGTCAATTATAGCTATTAACTTAGTTGATAATATTAAATTATGTAACTATATAAGGTTGATATGATTACAGTTTAACTACCTTCCATGCATGATATGTTCCTGATGGGTCAGTCTGATAAAGATGAGGTGTACCATCATAATCAAATCCAACAATGAGAGTAGAAATACCAAAAGGGCGGCGACCATTACTTTGAGTGTAACGCTAATCAACAATGATAAAAATAGAAAATAATATGTAGTTGGGATTAGAAAGAGTAAATATGCACAAGACAAAAATTGTGAAAAGCTATGCAAAGAAAACAAAAACAAAAACAAAAAAAATGAAAAGAAGAATTGTCGTTCCCACACCGGGAATCGAACCCGGGCCACGGCGGTGAGAGCGCCGGATCCTAACCACTAGACCATATGGGATTTGACAATATTAAGGCAAAAAATTTAGCTAAATGAACACTTCCCATGACTGTGTCCACTACTCGGTCAATCACCTCGGGAAAAACCTACTCACTCTTCTCTTGATGCTACATGAATCAAACTCTTCGCACCAAAAGGAAAAAATATGTTTCTTCGTACCTGCTTTAGCGTCGCAATATATCTTGTTATGTACTCTAATGTCACAGGATCTTCTACGGTTAGCTTATGGCTTTGACACTCGACCCGAGCTCGATTCACCAGAATTCTAGCGTCCGCCGTCAAACCTGATAAAAAATGACGAAAAATCTTGAAGGAAGGACAAATTGTTGATTCTTTTCAGAAATACTCCATTACCTGCAAAAGCCATGACAACGTGGTCATCCAGCGAACAGATTTTTCTGACTGTTCTTGGTTCTTGAAGTTTGGCAACCGCTTTTCTCTCTACTCCGAGAACAACAATGTTTTTACCACGGACTCCAACCTATAAAATAGTTCTTTATCAATCTTCCGATTCGCAGAAAATTAACAAAAGGAGAGAAGTTGTTCGACACAATGAAAACACCGACGAAGAAGTTTTTTACATACAGCAGTGGAACCCTTCTTTACGGCTTCTTGAGCGTATTCCACTTGGAAAAGATGTCCATCAGGTGAAAATATAGTTATAGCCCTATCATAAGACCCCCCTGACATGTCTGTTTAGTTTATACGATTTTTTAGTTGGCTAAATTCAGCGAGAAAGTGAAATCCCTCGAAGCGCAAGGACAGAATGACTTTGCATGAGGCTTAGTAACCAGGCTTAAAGAGATTTCCCTTGAAGCACAGGGACCGGAAAGGCGCCAACTACAAACAAACATGGCGTAAATTGAACAGTCCGAAAAACAAACGCATTTTAGTGCGATTCAGCTTTCTTCAGGCTTTAGGTTCTTAATAACTTCTAAAAGAGGAATTAATAGTTTCCAAAATTTGAACAGTTTTACGCCATATGTAGCATATGTAGACAAGAATCGTTTGAAATGTCAGGCTTGCAAAGGTGAAACAGCAGAAATCATATAATAGAAACACTTCAGAGCTATGGAAGATATCGATGAAGCTACTCCTCGCGGAATTATTCGCGGTGTTTTGACAACAGAGAATGTAAGTCAAAGTGCTCGAGCTTTGAGGTCAAAGGAAACGCTCAGTACATCGAGTGTAAGAGAAACATCAACGAATCCTCCGTCCCATTCCGAAGTTGCAAGTCGGTTGCTCACTCGATCTACTAGGAACAGGAAGAGAAAAGCTGCACCGGGTACTACTCCTTCAGACTCAACAACTCCTAGAACTTTGGTATGCCGCGACTTAACTTGATTCGTTTATAAGAGCGATTAAACATGTCTAAAATTTAGCCCTTTTGTTAAATTACTAGAGCTATAATCATATGTCTATAATTTCATGTATGATGATCCATGTGTAGGCTAGCTTTGTTTTTGGTTTTTTTTTTTATCAGTATCGTAATTTATCGATTTGACTGCCAACATTTTGAGAAGTGATTAGTGTCAGTTTGTGGTTTGTGGTTTGTTCTTGCAATATCAATTGTAAGCGACAGCTATGTGTACTTGGAATATAATATTTGCAATTTTTAATGCTTTTTACCCTTACATCAGTATGCGTATTCTCCCTACTGTTCTCTACACATTTCCTAAGGTGCTGATGAGGAGAACTTTTCAAATTTTCCAGAGTTTCTTTTTTTCGGAATATTTGTTTCATCTCAAAGCAGTCTCCATTAAACAGGTGTTCTTAATTACTGACAGTTAATTAATGTTATTTCTCGGGGCTGAAGCTTTGATATTGTTTTTTTTTAGATTGCTGGTTTTCTAGAAACGGCTCCAGTTGCCAAAAGTGTAGTGAAAGGGCAAAGACAAAAGGCCATTGAAGGAGAAAGAAGAAGATCATCTCGCTTATCAGTTCAAGCTGGGGGTAATACCCCAAGAACAATCATTCAAAATTTCTTGCGAGAAGGTACATGTATAGGTGTAGTTACTTTATACCAAGTGGTAACTTTTGCTTGATGTGTACTTTGTATTTACAGTTATTTTTGACAGACAGTTTTGAAAATCACCTTTCCTTCTATGTGACTGTAACAAGGTTTGGGTTGGACATCTTTGTTATTTTTGAGTTGCCCTCTTTTCCTGAAAGGTTCTGTTGAAAGATTTAACTGTTAGCTCCTAGAGGTGATGAAATGTATCATTTCCTTTCAATTTCAAACATAAAAAAAAGTTATGGGAGTTGTCAAATTATCAGTTGAAGAGTGTTCATTGAGAAACTCCAAATTCTTTTGACTCATTTCAGTAGAAATGTATAGCAGGTAGAAAGGAGAATTTTGAAACAGATCTCATGAATTTGTTCCCTTTAGCATTAACAGAGACACCAGTTGAACCAGTAATTCCAGAATCTTCAGATGAAGTAGATCAAGAAGTACCACACCAGTTGAGTGAACAAGAAAAACAGTCATCTCTTTCAACAAGTGGTGTTGCTGATGGTCAGATGTTTGCTACGACAAGTTCTCATCCTGCAGATCATTCTACACATGTAGAAGCAACAACTCCAATGGTGTTGGACTCCTATATAGAAATGGATAGTGCTGCTGGGATGTAAGATTTTAAAGTCATTTTAAATTCACATGAGTCATTGTTGATGCTCCTTTTAACCCCAAGGGGACTTATCAATCTTCATGGCTTCTTGACAAAGAAAGACCTTATGGGAGATGGGAACAAACATTATTTAAAACTTATTGAGAGCTATAATTTGAGCTTCTTTTATCTTGAAGTGTAGGCCAGCTTCAGCTGAAACCTCATGTCAAATGAAATTATTTGGCCAAAAAATTACAAGGGTTAAAGTGGAAACTAACAAAGTTTTTAACATGAGACATTATAAAGAAAGACGTTTTTTTGTCTTGTCTCGAGTGGACAAAGCAAAAATTCTGAGTACTCATGAGGGGACTTGTTAGAACAGTTAACCCTTTCACTCCTGTAAGTAACCAAGAGAGAATTTCCCTTTACAACATCAATACAAAATCAAGCAGACAAGTAACGAGAATAAAGAAAAATATCAATTAGGGGATTATTAGTTGATCAAATATCAAATCCACCAAACTGACACAGAGACTTGCCAGTAGATAGTTTTATTACAGTTTTTATTCAGTGTAACGTAGGGCTGGAAAATAAACTAATAAGAGTTCCGCTTTTAGGCTTGGCTAAATCTATATATTAAGAATTGTATGGCAGACAGTAGGGAGAATTACTAAAGAGATATTGGGAGAAAAAGGGTGAAGGGTGCCAATATCAATATACATGTAGATGGCAAGATAATTAACTAAGTTGATGAAGTAAATTGGCCATGGTGAAGAGTTCTAAGCTGACATTTCAAGCATTTGCCCTTTGTCAGAGCAAAGCATCAGCCCATTGTCATTTGCTGTGATGAAGGGCTCATGCTTGAAATGTCAGCTTAGAAACTCTATATGGTGGGCAATTTGCATTTGTAACACAGTTGATAAAACCAGAGTTATCTAGCTTCCCCCACTGATGCAGCAACACAATTGCTTTAAAAATGTAGCCCCTTTTATCAATGTAAATAGGCCAGAAATAAACAGTTCTATTTACCCAGTATCCCTTTCTTGGATGGTATTTAATAAGGACCATGTTTAAAACTGTAAAAATCAGAATTTATACTTCTCATCCTCATGAGAAACCAGCAGACCAACAGCATTGATTTTTAAAATTATTTATCAGTAGCAGAATAACTGAGGGAACACAACCAGAGGTTGATTCTCTGCCATTACTGGGAAGTCTGCAGGAAGACCTGGAAAGGACAGACAATAGCATGCAGACATCTCGTCCATGGAGAGAGCTGGTCACACCTCAGCTGCCTCTTAATGTGTCTTTGCCAGGGAGTGAGAGGCTGGAACAGTCAAGAAAGATTAATGAAGAGAGGTGACAAAAAATCTTCA